GTATTCGAGAAGGTACTTACAATAACGTCTCGGCGTTAGCCCTGCAGGCGATATCCTCAGCCTCGCACGTGGCTCGCGATGACGCGCAGTGTACAGCTCGGGTACAGTCAAGAAGCGGGCGGCCTTAAGGGCTCGCACGCGCGGTCACAGGAACTAGCCCGCCAAAGGCACTAGGGGTAATCTCGGCACCGATATCTCACACCGAGTGGACACTCGCGTATTCGCAGGCAACCGAATGTCAGAAAAATGTCAGTCACAAGAGTTAGTCGCGAAAAGTCGAGTAACAAAAGGTCGCAAGCACTAGTATAGCCGCTCGTCACACGTCCACGTGCTTCGTCGTCGCCGGTACAAGAGCGAGTCCTTATCGCGCGCCTCTCCGAACTCTTCTACTCGCGCGCGTCGCGCCGGCCTCCCGAATTCTCTCTCTCTAGCTCGCCCTCTATTAGCGCTCTCTCTGACTTACCTTTGGCTGCCATACATATGGGATAATTATAAGACAATTATATATATAAGAATAATTATAATTATGTATAGGGAGAGAGAGACATAACGAGGGTCTGGCCGCTCGTTATAATGTTAAGGCCAACATTGTATTTGTTATTCACTATTGATTTGCCAACGTTTCCAAACATCACAACAGTAACATATGCAAACAATATAGCCATTTTCATATCACATTCGAAGGTAATAATAGCAACAGAAATAATACAAAATTAAGTGAATAATTATCTACAAAACTGATTAAACTCATGGAGCATTAAACTAAGTGAAAGTAAATACACCTGTCCACCTATTAAACTCAATGATAAATACATATACTACAAGGCATTAATGTCAAGTACTTGGTCAAATAATGTCAACTTACCCAGACCAGAGGCTCACATGGAAAGAGCACAAATTTAGAAAATCCAAGTAACTAGAATTGAAATAGAAGAAAATATATAGGTTCATTGAAGGAAAATCAGAATTTTCAAATTATCGTTTTGTAAATTCAAATTGGTGCGGTAGTAACCTTTCGTAGTTTATTTTGTTTCAATCGTATATGCTGCGATTCGGACATTTCATTGTACATTTACTAGCCATTCTTCAATGTACCTGTTTTATTGAAAACAATGACTTAAATTTCTCACAGACCTTGTCAGGGATTTTCAGCTAATTTGTTCACATTGACAAGTCTTCGATCATTGAATGATCAGTACTGTTCTGTTTGTTCTAGTGAAGTAGCCAAATTCTGTAATTAAAAAATAATATTGTATATTACTTTCTAGATTTGTTGGGTGAATGATCATAATCATATCTTCGTATTAACATAATATAATCATTCAATAAACATCTGTTTTGTATTACTCACAATATAATTCGTAAATGTTTAAGGGAAAAGAACGTTGAATTATTGATTAATTAATTATTGGATCAAGTCAAAGAAAATCAACTTGCACTAATCCATTCTAATCTCATATTTACCAGCTCCATGGTAAATTCATCCTTAATTCCCTACAGTATCTCTCTTTATTGCTGGAATTTGTTTTTTCTTAATAAACTGACCTTTATTTATATCAATATTTATACGTACACTATATTATATTTTTATTTTATAACTTTAGAATATAAAATACGTGTTTGAATTATTACGACGTTGCCAAATGCGGTGACAGTGACGTAGAAAAAACGTGTTATTTAAAATAAAGAAAGTAAAAAATAAAAAATATTTTATTTTCTTTTCTGTCAGTCAATAATTACGTTTAATTTATACATTGATCAAACGTGATAACAACTCCATTTTACAAGATTTCGATATTAAAATTTGATTAACCCGACTAATTTTAAGTACCTCAACGCTGGAGCCACCTTGATTACTAAGGTATTTGTTCATAACTTTGGAGTTATTGAAAAGTATGCTTTGCAAGATCAATTTTCAATTCTATTATTTTTTCATTTTTGTATTTTATCGCGAATTTTTCAATTACTACATGACAAAGTGTGTAATATTATATACATCCTGCACAATTTGTTTATTTATTTATTTTTGTTTCATAATTGAAATAAATAAATTTTATATAATACAGTCTTCTATTTCCCTTCTTGCTATTTTCTATCTTATTTTATAGTGTATACTTCAGGTTATCGATAAAAGGTCCAGATAGTCAATATAATATGTAGCTATCGAATGTATGTCAATGTATATGACAAATTTGAAAAGAAATGAGAAATAAAGTATTTTAAATATGACACAAAGAGAAAAGTTGAGAAATAAAAATTGAAACTATAGAAAGAACTTTCTAAAAATTTGTCCGAAAAAAATGTTGATAAATCTTTCTAAGAATTCTCATATAAATAATAAAATAGAACATTTCGAAAAATTCTTAATCAAACTGAAGTATACGTATATGAACGTATAGTATATGAAGTAGATCCAAAGGAAAATAATAAACTTTTCAAAAATGATATTCGTTTACTTTAACGATCAGGTAAACCATTTTTTTTCTAAAAATAAGAGGTTATAGATAAATGGAGTTTCTAGGGCATCTAATCGAAATTTCAAGATTCAAAAAAAAAAAGAAAATATTTACCGAGTATTTCAAGATAAAAAACATTCATAAAGGTTTATAACTTTATTAGAACGATTTTTACGTCACAGTAAATAAACTTATAATTTTCACTGTTTAACTCTAGCTGATCTTCTTAAATAAATATCATTACCATGTTTGCCAAATATAAACCAAATTTATTATTTTATCAACGATCAAAATGGTTTTTTTATACTCTTTAATTTCACTTCTAGAGTTGCTATTATAGCAGAATATAAATTTTGTCTCCTAATGTAAAAAAATTTTTTATTCTTTATCTTTTTATTTTTAAAGATTTAATATCAACTAACAATATGAGAATTACATACAGAAAAAATCCACATTTCTTAAAATTTTGAAGTGGAAAATAATAATAAGTAAAGTTAATTTTTCTTCCATTAGGGTAAACGTAATCAGAAAATAATTATGGACTTATCTAGAATTAAAAATTATCTTATCTGAATTTTTGGTCATAAAACCGCATTTTATCAATTTTCATCGGTACCTAGTATAATTTTAGTTTAGTATTTCTATCCACTCAAGACTGTTTTATTTACTTCACCAGTTAAATCGATTCTGTGTGGGTTTATAAGAAATACCAACTAAAAACAAAAATATATAAGCAATGCAACTTGTATAGTAGAAATTTCGACCTCACCTTTTTCTGTATAAAAGTTGCTCAACGAACAAATTTCGCGGATTATAAATTTTTAATAAACAATAAAGTAATGATATATCTCTTTATGAAATAGTTATTACCAATGTTATTGTTTACAATATCTGTAAACTTGCCTATTGAAAGTTAATAATTTTACTAAAAAATATCTGTAATACTTAACATGAATACTTCACTGACGATGGGTGGTTTTTTATAATTATTGCAGTATCAAACTATTTGTAGACTCACGCTTTCTCTGTTCTTACGTGTTAATAATTGATTTCATAAAATTGACTAGTTTATTATTTTTATTTTAATCTCGAATGACATGTTTTTCAATTATCTATTTCTTTTATTGATCTAAAACTTTTATTTGTAGAATTTATAGTCTTAGGTTACATTTAAATAAACAATGAGTTACCCGTGATATAGCTCTTTGTATTACCTATCTTGAATGCTATCGAAAAGGAGAAAGGGAAAAAATTCAATACACCATACTTGTTTAAATAAAAATAATCATATAATAAAATCCGTAATAATTTGAAATATTTTCAATAGAAACAATTTAAAACCATTTTGTGATACACGTAGTATGATTCAAAATGACTAATAATATAAAAATATATTTTAATCACTGATTATCAAGTAATAGATAAAATATAGTTTAATCGTTAAAAAAATAAAACTATTTAAAAAAATATTCATACTTATGAATTTGTTAAATGTTCTTTTTTCTTGTGGACTATTATGCATTATTCATTATTTAATGAGTTTTATATTTAGTATTAGGACTTATTTAAAAAAATATAAATGAAGTCGTATGAGATTTACATAAAATTTATTCCTAGATAAATGTTGATGTGTGCAATATAATTTACAATTTTGAATATATATAGTCATTCTACTTACTAAACAAATATTTTTACTCAAATTAGTAAAAATATCTCCAATGATGAAATATTTATGTAATAGATATAACGTTACAATAACAAAAATCAATTGATCAAATACAAAATAGCGCTATCTAGAAGTTATTATCAACTAAAATTGTAATACATTCCAACAATCGATGTTTTAGAAATCTATGTTTTTTCGTGAAATTCCCGCCTTGAAAAAAAGGAAATTTAAATGAAGATCAAAAGTTTCATTTATTTCTTTTGTATTTGTAATTTTAAATATTATCAATAAAGTATATCATTTATTGTAATCGTTTCAAATATCTGTGATTCTTTACAATAAATAAAAGAAAATATTTTTTTAAAATCAAATATATCCATTTGTTTTCCTTCGGTTGAATAGTTATAGAAATATTAAAAAAAATATCCTTAGATATTTGTAGTTTTAAAAGGTATGAAATATATTAAATTTTTATTAGCATTTAGTCTTATGAAATTCATTTAATTTATTGTCAAATAATTGATTTTTCCATATTTCAATATTAAGACGGGTTAAAATTTTAAGCAATTGTAAATAAATAAATAACTTTATGGTGCAAGCTTAAAGCATTAACTGTTTTACGCATAGTAAATCGATTCTGTGCTGAGTAGTGGTATACGTCACAACCATCGACGTCACTGGAGAACCGACTATAGCAGTATATGTATAATCTGAGAACAGTAAGCATTCAGTGGGAGTCAAAAAGAACGGGTAAGGAGAGGTAACCCCTCTTAGAAACACCGGAAAGTGGGAGTGTTTCCTAAGGAGAAGTAAAGAGGAATCAATGAGAGAGGGGGTTTGACGTCGTCAGAGGTCTAGAGGCAAGAAGAAAAAGGGAGAAGACGATAAGAGAGACTTACTGGTATATACAAAGATATACGCACACTTATGCACGCGTGCGCGGATTGATACGAAGAGCGGGGATTGGTTGGCAGCTGCTCAGCGTTTCCAAATATGGGACAGTCTCTGCGGTCCATTCATAAAACTACGGGGCGCGCCGCCGTTGAGCTCAGTCTGTGTGTTACCCCTACGTATTTAGTAGCCGCAGTACCACATACAGCATCTTAGTCATATAAATGCTACCGCGCGGTTTCTCAATTATAGCTAATATCATAATGAAGTAGATGAATACCTTAACTTGAGTTGCGATTCAAACGAATTATAAAATATGATAAAGCATTATACAATTTATAGACATAAATAAGTAGCCATTACTTCAATAATAACAGAATTTATTAAGTGTGTAAAAAGTTTAGAAAGTTTTCTGAAGAACTAAATTAAAGTAATATGTGCGAGAGAATCTTCAATAACAAATAATAATTAAATAATTTACAAAAAAAATTATTTTTTTTAATAATTTACAATTATTTTTAAATAAATGAAAAGTGTATAAAGTGAATAATGACTATGGATGGTATAGAAATATTAGGCTCTCAGCCTCACGTAGCAGCAGCAAGCCCATTTTTATTGCCATCGCCGACACTTGGACACCATCATACAACATTCAATTTACAAGCAGTACAGTTGAGTTTTGATGCATGTTTAACGTATAATACTTCAACAGGAAGTAATTCTAATAATACTTGCATAAGTAGTGTCAATCTTTTATCCAATTTATCACCTTTAACATCTGCACCAGTTGTAACTTCAACTTCATCAGCAAATACTACAACAGGATCAAACATATCGGCATTAAATTCAAAATCTTCTTCAACTTTGACTACATTACCTATACTCCAACAATGCATTACTTTAAGCCCTATGGAACCTCGTCAGATCCATAGTCAAGACCAACATCCAGAAATGAGAAAAAAATTAGATATAGAAAGAACTACATCTCTTGACAATTCTCAAAGTAATATTAAAAAACGACGTTTGCAACGTTCTGGTTTTGATGCAAGTAACAAAGAATGTGCAGTAGAATGTAAAAATGATGCCCAAAATTTGGACGATAAAGATAAACAAGGCGATCTTAATACTCCAGTTACAACTACCAGTGATTTGCCTTCATTCTTCGGACCTGCTACACTTGTCGAGCCACCACCTATTTCAGGTTCAATCAGAATTTATTAATATAATTTATTATAATACTTATATATTTGTGTATAATTATATATATTGTACTATAATTTTATATTTACTTATATTTATAACGAATACGTGTGCGCACGTGTATGATTGTCACTGCATTCATAAAAATCTTTATGAAAGATAATAATTCAGTTTCTTTCAAATTCTAAACTAAAATTTATTATATGCAGAGTAATTTGAATTGCATTATAGAATTCTAATATAAATTTCAATTGTATTAGAGAAGCAGTTTAAAGAGTTCCTCGAACTTTGTTGTACATTATCACGTTTATATTTAAAGGTAAAGTTTTGTTAAAGACACTGCATGTAATAAATAATAATTATACGGTTTCTATAAAACTAAAATCATCATTATAGTTGTATAAAACAATCTTTTATCCAAGCTATTTGAGTTGGTACTATGAATGAATACGATGACGTAGATTGCTGGAGCAATATACTCAGCTAACGTTGAACGTGTTGAGTCGGATCAATACTTGGTGACCCCGACATTCAGAATTGTTTCTCCCCTCCAATAAAACTACCCCTACTCCAGCATCTTATACGAAATGCAGCCATTCATAAATGCCCGAGTTTTAAATCAACGAGTTAATTTATAATAGAATGTTGCTAATGAAAAATTCTGAGGATAATAAGCCCCTGAATAAGCTAATATACTGTTCGTATAATATAATGTTCAATAGTATCAAATCTTATAGAAAGCACCTTTGTTGGTTTTCGTAACATCTCATCTTCACTGTACAACACTGTTTTCAACTATTAATTCACATGTAACTCTATGGTGCAATCTTATATGTTTATACAAAGATTTACGCAAGTAAATGTTTGTTTCACCTCTTAGAAAATTAAATTTATAAATTTAGTTATTAATAAAAACTTAAATAAGCATGTATATAATTTGTGATATTTCTGTACTATATCGAACTTTTGTTTTGTTTATCTATGGTACTGTTATTTGGCAATATAAAGATAAAAAGAAATGTGAATTATGAACGTGAGACTATATAATTTTTGACACAAATTAAGCTAACGGAATGATTTAGAACTGATTTGTAAACTAATTAATTATGCTACAAAAATTTTCTACCTTGCTGTATTTTCCCTTTTAAATAAAAAAACTTGGTGACATGAATCCAATTTATTCATTATTTGATTAACTGGAAGATAGTTATGTAAAAGTCTATTATAAGACGGGAAATATATTGTTTTGAGTCGCTTTGTAAAAGATGACCGTGCTTCAGCCTCGAATGAGTGTTTAAAATAGTTAATTTTAAGAATTTTTAATCGAAGTAAACTGTTGACTTATGGTTTTAAATAATTAATGATTGAGCGACATTAATAATTTAATTCAAGATTCTTCAAGATTGATTTTGTCATTGCTATGAAATTCAAACATATTATCTTCTAATATATTTGAATAAATAATTTTCCTATAGAGACTAACAACCAGTTCAAAGAAACGTTAGAGGAACGTTATTTAACTCTTATATTTACAATCACGGGTTGACTTTGACTTCGTTTAACGATTTCGAATATTCGAATGTGGTGGGTAATGATGTTAATTGTGCGTTTAAATAATTTTTATGAAAAATTATTGGTTCATAATACGAGGGGAATAATGCACTCTTTCGATAACTGAACCTTTAAATAATTACAGACTGCCCTGGATATATAAATTAACTAAAAATGATTTCTGTAGTGTGAAATTGTCCAAAACAGTTAAATGATAATAATTATTCTTATTATTCGTATTTGAGTTAATGTAACGTAAAATATTTTTTAGAAGTTTTCAAAATATTTTATTTATTTATACATACACTACCGTCCATAAAGATTTGCCATCCCCTTGCTGAAATCATCGAAACTTTAGAGTTTTATGGCTCAGTTTCTATAAGTGCTAGAAAATCCTGCGGGGTCTCATTTGAAAGGTCTTGCCAAGACCTTTCAAATGTTGTAAAACATGATTGATTTTATTTGTTTTTTGTACAACTTGTGACGTCATAAACAAATTGTTTTTTTTCAATTTTTTCACATCAACTTCGACCCTGATTTATTTATATAACGGATTGTACGATGGAAAAACTGTATAAACCATTCGATAGAGCTTTCAAAAAGCTACAAAATCCATATCCGGAAAATTTTGTTACCTTTATTTTTTATGAGTTATATGGTGTTTTATACATAAACAAAGATTTTCAAAAAATGGGCTGTATTTTTTTTATTTTCAACTCTAAAGAAAAAACTCTCAGAAGAAAAAATGTAGTATTTTGCTATCAAATGCGCCACTCAGAATTAAAAAAAAAAAAATTTTTTTTTCACGTTTTTTAGAATTGAAATTTTTCTAGAAAAAAAACTGAAATTACATATATTTAATAAAATTAGTAAGTAACTAGTATTTATAACTGAATAAAAACTGAACAAAACTTTTTTCCAATCATCAATGGTCCAAATTTTATGTTTTCTGGCCCAAGCCAATCGTTTCTTTTTATTAATCGGTTTTAGTAAAGGCTTTTTAATTGCTATTCGACCGTATAATCCATCTTCATGAAGTCGTCTCTTTATCGTAGTAACACTAAGTTTAACATCATACGCTTTTTGAGTTTCAACAGCAAGTTCGGGTGCCGTGAGTCTTGGATTATGTGTACTTGTACTACAAATGTGTTTATCAGTAGCGCTCGAAGTTTTCCTAGGCCTTCCTGAAATTTTTTGTTTTTGATAGTTCCTTGAGTTATGAATTTTTTAATGTTACAATCAACTGTTCTTCTTGGAATATTCAAAATTTTGGAAATTTCATTATTACTTTTATTCACTTTATGCAAGGCTACTATCTCAGATCGCTCTTCAATGCTTAAGTTTCTTTTTTTCGTCATTTTTAATGAACAAAAGATACATGCTTCAATTTACTGACTAGATTGGACACATTGATATTTCACTCATTAAAGCTGATAAGAGACTGAATTTCCATACGTATTCTCTGCTATATGTATACATTCATGAAAGTCAAGTAAATCAAATCACGTAAACACTCAGTGATTATCACAGTGATTATCGGTGAGCACAATACTGTAGAAAGTCATTAAAAATGAAAACAATGCAAATTCCTCTGTTACAAACGTCGAATACAATAAATGTATCTTGTTATCATTGTTTGTAAGCCCATTCAGTTATAAATACTAGTTACTTACTAATTTTATTAAATATATGTAATTTCAGTTTTTTTTCTAGAAAAATTTCAATTCTAAAAAACGTGAAAAAAAAATTTTTTTTTTTTTAATTCTGAGTGGCGCATTTGATAGCAAAATACTACATTTTTTCTTCTGAGAGTTTTTTCTTTAGAGTTGAAAATAAAAAAAATACAGCCCATTTTTTGAAAATCTTTGTTTATGTATAAAACACCATATAACTCATAAAAAATAAAGGTAACAAAATTTTCCGGATATGGATTTTGTAGCTTTTTGAAAGCTCTATCGAATGGTTTATACAGTTTTTCCATCGTACAATCCGTTATATAAATAAATCAGGGTCGAAGTTGATGTGAAAAAATTGAAAAAAAACAATTTGTTTATGACGTCACAAGTTGTACAAAAAACAAATAAAATCAATCATGTTTTACAACATTTGAAAGGTCTTGGCAAGACCTTTCAAATGAGACCCCGCAGGATTTTCTAGCACTTATAGAAACTGAGCCATAAAACTCTAAAGTTTCGATGATTTCAGCAAGGGGATGGCAAATCTTTATGGACGGTAGGATAGGTACAAATAGTTGAAAAAACTTGAATCTTGAATATTTCGACAACTCATGAATAACGGAATGTTATGCGCAACGTACTTGCTTTATAGTTTGCTATAAATAATATCTGAACCAAATTTCAAATTGATCTAGTAAAGATTAAACAAATTATGGTAAAACTTAAAAGTAGATTTTACTTTTGGAAATATGTTTTTTCCAACAAAAACACATTTGGTTCAATAAGTTCTCGACGTATTATGACTTAAAATTGGTTTTACTAATATAAAATATATCTAGTTGAATTCTAGTTGAAATTTATAGCAAAGTTTGCAAGTTATAAATTTTTTGCTCTATTTCTAATATGGCTATTTTGTAGAGCTAACGAGCAATTCTTTTTTATTGAATAAAATCTAATTATTTCAAATGTAAACATACAACTTTTACAAACGTTAATTATAATTACAATTACATGACCACATTAATTATAATAACATGACTATCGTACTTAAGATCATATTGAATGAGTGATGTAATTGAAGATGTAATTCGAAACCGAATTTAAAAAATTGTAAAAATCGTACAAACTTTAATATTGATAGATATTCTTCTTATAATATTTTTTTCACTTTTGATTTAGTAAAAAATATAATATACTATTACACAACGATTTATATTGTATATAATTCATATTATTTATGACTATATACTTTCCTAAGACGTTAATTATTTTTTTATGTCCATGCCTTTGAAACATACACTTCAACAAGTTAAATAGAAAGTTTAGAATCACCTATCACCCAAAAAAAGATTCAATTACATCCATGCAGTTTTAAGAAAGTTATTCGAAAAAGAATGTTTCCATAATGTCACTTATTTTTTCTCAAGACTAAAAATTCTTCTCATGTACATATTATACGTTGCGAGTTTCTTTATTTTTTTCTTAGAAAAGAGAATCCTTTCTTGAAAAGTACAATTTTTAAATATTTTGATTGGTCGGTTAAAGATTGAGATTTAGACATTTGATTGGTCTATACGATTTTATGTAATTTGATGCAAAATTTTTTAAATAACACGTACGTGATGTCCGTTATGTATGTTTATAGGTTAGATTAGATTGTGATTGGGGTATAAATTTATTTAATTGATTATTTCTTTTCTATGATTAATATAAAAATCATATAAAATTATTAATGTTATAAAAAATTAGTTGTGTTACTTACGAAATTTATCAT